CGGTTGTGAACTGGACGAGAAGGAGTATCTCAGCCTGTGGCTGGTGGTGTGCGAGGTGCGCAATCGTTACTCCTCGCTGCACGATATTGTTATAAAGAATCTGGAGAAGCTGAAGAAGCCGCGCTCATCGAACATTGAGAGCTTATACTAGAGACGCCCATTTATTATTATTATTATTTGTTTCTTAAAGTTAACAAACAGACCACACACGCCTCCGCCTCCTCCTCCTCCTCCTCCTCCTCAATACTGGAAGCCAACAGCGTCCGCATCCCGTTCCAGAGGCCGCGTCACCAGCATCCCGCGTATCCCATTAAAGCGGGGTCCCAGTTAAACACAGTTAATCACACTCGAAATTTCCATTTGGAATAGTTTGTTATTCTTAAAGTTGAGAGAATTTGTAAGAGATCTAACAATATGATAACCTTTAGACGTTATGTTTAAAGCGTGCAGTTCTTAAGGACAGTTTAATGTAATAAAATATTTGGGTATCTAGATTATAATCTAGATTAAAGTAATATACAAGCAAAAGTCGATGCTAATTTTAGATTCCAAGCAATAGTTACACGTAAATAAGCAAACATAACATAATTAACAAATTACCAAACAAATCTTCAAAAAGTGGGCTTAACTGACAATGAAACTTGTAATAAACACGGGGAGAACTCGCATACTTGTATACTATAAGACTCGTTGCGTTTATCTATCTATAATCAAACAAAATGAATGAGTATCAGAGAAAACGAAATGCCAGGCCAGTTAAAGTTTTGGTTTTTGGTTTTGTTGCATTAACTGGATATTCTGGTTACAATCATGTTCACACGTTCAGTTCAGTGTAGCATAATTTTAGGATTGCTGCGTAATAAATAGTTTAAGCATACTTCAGGGATACTTTCGCAAATGCCTAAGCCGACTCGATTTTAGCTGTCTTGCCTTGCATTAGAAGCCAAGACAGCAGATCGCTGCCTATATAGAGTATCAATAATAAATCAATAGCAATAAAACAAATGTCTTTTATTCACTTTTTATGGATGCTCTTTACAGCGTCATTTCACATAGCCAGACATAACCACAGTTGCAGGTCCCTCCAAAATGGAACTTTATTAAACCGAGCTCTAATCATTTGAAGTTTGAACAATTCATTCAAATTGAAATATCTCGAGTATTAAGGTTCCGATTTTGGTATGGGATAGCATTTTGGACTCGTGTGGATCACGACTATCGTTTGTCATTTAAAACGTTTCCAATCTGGAAATGAGGCCGGTTCTGGAAGCAACAAATAGTCTAAATAGCCATATCTTGTCCAGGATTGGACGTCACTTCACCGATTACTTGAAGCTCGAATTTTTCAAGTCGCACACATTTTCAACCCAAATGGTGGCTACTGTAAAAGTTTTAACTACTGGAATAAACTATTTATTGTGTATATATATATATATATATATATATCTTGCCCCGATCAAGAAACAAAAGGCACATTTTGTTATACATTTGTTTTGTTGTTGTTTTATTCATTTTTTTGTTGTTTGTTGTTTGTATTTGTTTTTATATTTGTTTTGTTTGCTTTTTAATATGTTGTATTTAATTTAATTTTATTATTTGTAAGCTTACAACTTAAGGCATAAAGTTACAAACTAAAACTTAAGAGCTACACATCGTTCTCTCTATTTGTTTTTATCAATTATAAATCAGCTCCAGCCCACGCTGTTCATATATGTATATATATATATATGAATAGATACATATACACATATAAATATTTATATATATATATATATGTATATGGTATTCAAATAATTTTTGTTTTCATTTTCATATTTATATGTTTATCATTATATTTATGTCAATTGTTTATCAATCATGCATTTTTGTATATTCAAACAGAAACCGGAAATCAAAAAGAGCAAAAAAAAAAAAAAAACAATAAACTATCGACTTTGTTGCTGTTGTTATTATTATTATTACATATTGTTATATTTGTAATCTTTCTTCTTTATTTTGTTTTTGCTGTTGTTTTTATTTTTTTTTTTTGCATATTTTTGTGTTTTTGTTTTGCATACGTTTTCATAATTTGTGTGATCATTATCATCAACATGTTCATCATGATCAGCTGCTGCTTTTCATAACCAGCGCAAGTTTTTTTCTTACTTCTTCTTGTTTTATTAAAACTCGGCAACTTTAATGTTTAACTTGAGTTGCCATTTAGATTTTAGATTTTAGATTTCATATTTTATATATATTATTTATATTTATATTTATTTATATATAGATGTATATATGGTTATATAGAACTTGAGCCTGGGCCGTTGAGGCGACTTTGCTCCTCAGCCATGGTTTGTGGCTCCAGCTCAGCTACCACATATGCATACATACACACACACATACTAACATACATGCGCACATATTTATTTATATATATATATGCGTTCACAAACATATATACACATATAAACTTATATACACATTTATATATATATATATATATTTTTGTTGTATAATTTTATTCACTCTCTTTCTATATTTATGCCATCTAGAATTTGTTATTTACTTTGTAATTCATGTATATATATATATATACACACATACATGTACATGCATATATATTTATAAAAAAAAAACGGGACATGCCGCGTTGGCCAAAAGCCCCAACAGAGTTGCGTGTGTGTGTGTGTGTGTGTGTGTGTGTGTGTTTGTGTGTGTGAGTGTGTTTATATATTTGTCATATCTTTTTCATATCCATTCTTGTTTATATATATTCTTTAATATATGTATATTTATGTTTAAATTTATATTTATATTTATATTTATATTTATATTTTTATATATATATATATATATACGCACACACATGCATACACACATATACATTTATAAGTTTTTGTTAATATTTTACAAATTTTTGTTGAATAAGTCTTAGCGTTTTGTTGTGGTTTTTACTTTTATTTTTTTGTTTGTATTTTACTTTATTTTTTTATTTTTAGTTACATTGTGTATTAAAAATATTTAATTTTTGTAAATCGTTTTTATTTTCAATTCTTTTAAAAATTGTTTTTTTTCCTTTCTTTTTTGCATGTATAAAATAAGTTAAAAAAAAAACATAAACAGTAAAATAGCTAAACACTAAAACTGTTTTTTTTTTCGTTTGTTTTTTTTTGTTTGTTTGTTGTAAGACATAAGTTTGTTATATAAAAAAATATGCATATAATAATAATAATATATATATTTATATATATATATATATATTGTATATATTGTATATATATACATGTAAGCATATATATATACATCATTGTTTTGTTATTGTTTCCTTTTACTTACACACAATCTTTATAATAATAAACGTACATAATTCAATAGCATATAGCATATATATATATATATTTATTTATAACTGTATACACACATATAAGCATATATGCATATCCATAAGTTTATCAATAGAAAAAAAAACAATAATGCTTCATAAATTAAAAACTTACACATAGAAATAGCAAAAAAAAAAAAAATGGATAGTACAAAAAGTAGTTATAGTATATGTTTTAAAATTATGTTTAGTTTTTTTCTTCTTTTTTTTTTATGAAATTTACAAAATATTTTTTTTAAATAAATGTTTTGCAAGTGTACTTTAATATATATTTACTTGTTTTCATTTATGTATTTATATCATTTTTTTTTTCGTTTTTGTTTTTGTTTTTGTTTAGATTTTTTTCTCTTTTCTAAGAACAGCCCAACAGTGTATTTATTTTCTTGTTTTTGTTTTTGTTTTTTTGTTTTGTTTTGTTTTAAATATATTTTGTTAAATTTAATTGTTTAATATATATGTATTTATGTAATAGTTTTCATCCTTAAATATACATACACATATACATATACATATACATATAGTATATATATATAGTTTTGTCACTAAATTTTATTTCCTTAAGTTTTCGACTCAATTTTTGAGGTTATGTTTACGTTTGGGCTACAAATTACAACAAATGCACGTAACTGAAAATTCAAATCAAAGAACAATAACAGAGAAAGAAAGAATGAAAGAGAGAGAGAGAGAGCGAGAGAGAGAGAGAGAGAGAGAGAGAAAGGGAGACACACAACAAATCACAAGAACGGTGTATGAAACAGAGATGTGTGGGCGAGTGCTTGCGCGAGAGCGAGAGAGGGAGAGTGAGAGTGAAAGTGAGAGTGAGAGAGATCCTCAAGTGGCCAAAACTGGCGCTAAAAGGTGAGGGCAGCTCGAGGGGTTTGGGAAAAAGGGAGTACGATAAAAGCGCATGCAGCAGGTGCTCAAATTCGCGGCTGCCTTTCTCTCTCCATATAATATAGACACATATGTAAATATAATTATATGTACATACATAGACCATACACATACACATACATACCGTATGTTAGCATATATTCTATTATACTTTTAACTGTAACTGTTTGCATGCCTAACAACAGTTTAAATTTGCATTATTTATTCATTCATTCTTTCGTTTTTTGGTGCGTGCGTTCGTGCGTGCGTGCGTCCATTCTGAGTGTGTGTCTAGTCCATGAAGGGGTCAGCAGGTTGCCGGTTGGGTTACATAACTAACACAAAATGCAAGGCAACAAATGCACCAGGTCTTGCGTGTGCGTGCCTGTCTGTGTGTTCATATATGTATATGTTTATATGTGTATTTGTCTTTCTTTAACTCTCTATGCAGTTTTCATTCAAAGCTCTCTTACGTTTAGAAGAGCGTAGTCCAGTCTCTGCCTGTGTGAGCGTGAAAGTGCTCTCTTAGCTTGCAGTGCTCTCTTTAAAACAAGCGCCTGTCAACAATTCTTTAGTGGATGTGTGGGTGTGTGTGTGTTCTTTTCTTCTATTTGCTTTGCTCGAATAATTTTGTAGTTGGTATAGTTCTATACATACACATAAACATACATATATACGTATACATATAATTTGTTTCTGCTGTAAATTACGTAAAGTACATACATATGTTGTTGTTGTTGTTGCTGTTGTTGTTGTTGTCTCTTTTTCAGTAGTAACCATGACCAGCGCCAGCGCCGCTGCCTGCGCCGCTTGCATAGTGATGCGCAGCTGCGGCTGCCGCAGCGGCCGCTGCTGCTGCTGCCGCTGCCGACGTCGGATCACCGTAATGCTGACTGTTTGCATAGTGCACGCGCTGTTGTTGCGCCAATGCTGCCGCTGCCGCTGCCGACTGCAGTGGTGGCGGCGGCAGCAGCGCCGTCGGCTGATAGTGTGCTGGATGATGATGGCCGCGCGGCGACAGCTGCTGCTGCGGCGGCGCTAACTGCGCCGTCGCCTGCTGCTGCAGCTGAGCTTGGGCTTGGGCCAGATGATGACGTCGATAGCTGGCACTGGTCCAGCTGATCTGCTGCTGCTGCTGCTGAAGGTGCTGCTGCTGAAGGTGCTGCTGCTGCTGCTGCTGAAGGTGCTGCTGCTGCTGCTGCTGAAGGTGCTGCTGCTGCTGCTGCTGAAGGAGGTGCTGCTGCTGCTGCTGCTGTTGCTGATAGACGTTGGCTGCGCTATGTGGATGGGCTGCTGGAGGCGCCGTCGCTGCTGCCGTCAGACTGCGCATGCCGGACGACGACGCCTGCAGTCACAACTAATCTTCGTCGCTAAGCGCCTCATATTTGGAGGACAGCAGAGGCTTTGGTTCGCAGGCAGCGGCTGCCGCTGCCGCAGCTGCAGCAGCAACGGCCAATACGTTGGCATTCAGCGGACCACCGCCGCCGCCAGCTGAGGCGCCAAGGACGCCGCCCACTGAGCCGCCAGGACCAGGACCGCCGCTGCCAACAACGACGCCGCCGCCGCCTCCGCCGCCCACAATCAAACTGACGCCAGCCGCTGCGGCGCCCACTTCGTTAAGCGCATGCGCCGCCTTGCAGCTTAAGTGGGACGGCGGCGCCGACTGATGCGCCATCGGCATTGACGGCGGCGGCGGCAGACCGCCGGCAGCGCTGGGCACGGTCAGAGCGCTAAACGGATACGCATAGGTGTTGGCAGCGAAGGCGTTCACCGCCGACGGCGGCGGCGGCGCATGATAGGCGGACGCGTTGTGGCTGTTGGAGCCGCCGCCGCCGCTGCTGCTGCTGGCCGAGCGTCGCCCGCTGTCTATCACATCGTACTGGTTGGGCGTCTTGCGCGAGACGCTGATCTCGTGTGTCGGCGGCGGCGCCGACTCCTTGACGTGGCTCTGTGCGGCAACGGCATGGGCGTGCGCCAAATGCGCGACCTGGGCGTGCAGATGCTCCTCCACGTTGCGACTCTTGCCGTAATCGTCGCGCATCACTTCCGCAATTCGATTCTTTACATAGTTGTCAAACTTGGAGCCCGAACCGCCGCCGCCGCCGCCACTGTCGGCGCCGGGGCCGCGCTGATCGCCGCTGGATTGGGGAAGCGGCGGCGGCGGCACAACGACTCCGGGGCCACCGCTGCGACCGACAACAGCACCGGGTGCCGAGAGGAAATAGTGTGTGGGATCGGCGCCAACGGCCACCGCGGCATGCTGCATGATCAGCTCGTGGGCGTACTTCCTCGGACTGACCGCCTGCGGCAGGCGTATTATGTTGCGTGCATCCTCGCCGGGCGTATTGGCCCGTCCGCCACCTGTTGGTGGTGGGCCGACGTCGCTGCCCCTGTTGCCGCCGCCGCCGCCGCCGCCACCAACGCCGGGACCGCTGCTATTGCTGCCGATACCGCTGCTGCTGCTGCTGTTGCTGCTGGTGCTGCTGCCACCGCCACCGCCGCCGCCAACAACATTGATGGGCGACTGTTTGGCACGTTCTGCTGCCGCTGCCGCAGCGGCGGCCTCCTCGGCCTTCTGCTGCTGGCGGCGGTTCTGCTTCCAGCGATCGGGCGGCAATATGCTCTGCGTATCCTGCATATAGGGCAAATAGGTGGGACGCAAATGCGGATTCGGTCCGTAGTCTTTGGCAATTATCGAGTCCGTCAGCTCCCCGAAGGTGATGTTCTTCGTGTGTATCTGTTGCTGCTGCTGCTGCTGCTGCGACGTCGGGCCGCTGCCCGGTTGTGAAATGGGCGTGCCATGGTGCGTGGGCGGCGGCACCTGACCGCGCAGCTGGCCATGCACGGACCGCTCCGAGCCAGACTGCGGAATGCCGGACTTTGACTGCTGCTGCTGCTGCTGTTGCTGCTGTTGTTGTTGCTGCTGCTGCTGCTGTTGCTGTTGCTGCTGCTGCTGCTGCTGCTGTTGCTGTGGGCGCTGCTCCTGCTCGAGATCAATGCTGTTGACACTGGGCGAGCTGGAGTTGATGCTGCCATTGTTCTCGGCGGCCCGCAGCGAAACGGGACCCTCGTGCGACTGCCGCAAGTCGCGCGGATACTGAAAGCGATTGAGGGGTCAAAGGTTAATACACAATACTCAAAACTGTGTCCAGGTGGTGGCGTTTTACTCACGTAGTTGGTACGCGGTATTTCGCGGGGCAGGTTGCCGATGTCGCCGGTGCGGCTTATCTCGTGCTTGATGATGGCATCAATCAGACTCTGGGCGCTGAATTGTCCGGGTGCATCCTCTGGCGGATTGCTGCCATGTGCCTGGCGATAGTAACTGCAAGAAGAGGGAAAGTTGACATGATTGATGTGCTTGGATTGTTAAACAGATACATTTTGATTGATTGATTGCATGTTTATAACATTGATTGATTCATTTATTTACTTGCATCGATTTGTGTGCATTTTGATTGATTGATTGAGTGATTGAATAATTCAATATATTCATATATTCTGTTGGTCTGTTAAAAAAACAAACGATTGGTACTGATTGAGAGACATTTTTAAATATGATCTGCATTGATTTAAAGTTTGAAATATTGATTCGTATTGATTGATTTGGATTGAAAGCTTTTTTTCATTTTCAGCAATGTTTAATCTTTGATTGATATTGTTGAATAATTATATTGATCGATGATAGTTGAACATGATAGTATTGCTTGATTTATACGTTTATGATTGACAGATACATGACATTGTTACGAATTGATTCATATGATTGACTTAAATTTATTGAATGATTGATACTCACGCTTCTCGCTCACGGTCGGGTATGGTGCGTGGCGGCCCAGTTTCAGGCACCGGACCACGCATATAGTGCCCATGTCCATGGGGATGACCATGCGCATGGCTTGGCGGTGGCACCGCATTGGCCGTGGCCAGCATGCGCTCCATGCGTCGGCTGTCCCGCTCCTCGGCAGCGCGCTCCTGTTCGCGGCGCTCCTGCTCCCGGCGCTGGCGCTCCTGTTCACGCTGCCGTTCGATTCGGTGCTGATTCTGCATGATCTCCTTTTGGAGTTCGCGCTCCCGTTCTATGTTGTGATTGATCTGGCGCTGATCGCGCTTCGCCTGCTCGATGCGGCGCTGCATCTCGTGTGCGGCAGCGGCCGCGTTCAGCTGCTGCCTGTACTGCTGCTGAGCCAGCTGCTGGTGCACCGCGGCGGCCATCTGATGATGATAGTTGGCCGATATCTGATCGGCCCGATAGCGCAGATCGTGATGTGCTGCCGGCGGCACCGGCTGTCCCGGCGCCACCTGGGCGTGCGTTATTATCGGGCCGTGTGTCGATGGCGGCGGCTGCGGCTGCGGTGGCGGCGGCTGCGACACTGGCGATTTGTCATCCTTTTGCGACGGCACCGGCAGCTGCGGCTGCTGCACGGCCACATCCACAAACGAGGCCAGCGCATCGTGGCCAGCTGATCATGAGAAGATGCGAGATGGAAAATGTGTTACTTTGTTTTCATTTAAGTAAATGAAGAGGAAAACTATCGAGAAATGTTCATAAATGAACCCAGCTTTGGCATTGTACTGAGCGCACATCTGGAGCACATAAAGTGACCATGATTGTTGTTCAAATATGACTTGCTGCGCTTACCTGGCGGAAAATTGAAGGGCGTGACAATGTGCATGCGACTCGGTGGCGGCGCAGCGGGCGAAGGCGGCTTGGAGCCCGTGTTGTGGCGCTGTATGACGCCCTGGCGCTGCGGTGGCGGCGTGCGATGCGGACTGGGTGTGCTGCAGAAGGAGAATCGAGTTAACATATTAGACATTCAAGGAAACAAGGGAAAGATATACGGGCAATATATTCAGTCAGTCAGTCAGCCAGTTAGTCATTCAGTCAATCAAGCAGTCTGTTAGTCGGTCCAACAACCAGCCGGTCAAACACTGAGTCAGTAAACCAAGTAGTCAATCAGTTAGACAATCATTCAGTCAGTCGATAAGTCAGTCAATCAACCCATTAAATGAATAGTCATTACATCAACCAATCAGTTTATCAGTCAGTCAATCAGACACCAGCATCTCAGATTGGCAGTTGTCAACCAATCAATCAATCAGTTAGTCGATCAATCAATCACTCAACCAAAGAGTCGATTATTTAAGCAATTAGTTAATTAGTTAATTAGTCTTTCAGTCAATAACTAAGTTTGTAAATCAATCAGTTACTTAATCAAACAAACAATGAGTTAGTCAGTCAATCTATCAATAAGACATTCAAACGACTAGAGAGTCAATCAGTTGGTCAATCTGTGAGACAGTCAACCAATCAATTAGTCTATTAGTCGAACCACAAGTCAGTCATTCTGTATATTGGTAATTCAATCGATCAATCAGTCAGTAATTCATTTAGTCAATCAATATATCAGTCTGTCAGTCAGTTAGTCAGTCAGTCAGTCAATCAATTGATCAATCAGTAAGTAAATCAGTTGTCAATCAGTCAGTCCGTATATGAGACAATCAGTCAGTCAATCAATCGCCCAATCAGTCAATGAATCAGTTAGTCAGTCAATCAATACATCAGTCTGTCGGTCAATCAGTTCGCATATTAGTCTGTCAGTCAACCAATCGATCTATCAGTTCAGTTCATACATCAGCCAATCGATGAGGCCAAATAGTTGTTCTTTATATGGATTCGATATGCATACCTGTTGGAATGATCGGCCGGTGAGGCGCGACTGGAATATTCGGGTCGTCCGCGTGGCTGTGGCTCCTTCTCGTAGCCGGCATAGACGGCGGAGCCGCCGCTGATGCTGTTGCGGGGCGATGGCGACTCCTTGTCGGAACCGGAACCGGCGCCGCCGCCGGCGCTGCTGCTGCCCCGGGAGACGTTGCGCTGCTGCTGGCCCTGCATTTGCTGCGAGGTGTGATAGTCGTTGATGACAATCTGGCGCGAGCTGAGCGCCGAGGCCTGCTCGACGACGTTGCTGTAGGGCGAGCGGGAATAGGGCGAACCAACGGTAACGCCCACACCATAGCCCTGGGGCGGCGGTGCCTGCGGCGACGACTGCTGCGGCGGCGGCGGCGGCGGCGCCTGCGCGGGACTCAAGCGCTGCGAACTCTTATAGAAATCATACGCCCGCTTGCTATCCAACGGATGCGGCGGCAAATGCAGCGGCGTGCCCTGCGTAATCGAGCCATGCTTGCCGCTATCCGGACAGCTGCCCGGCGGCGTCTGGCGCACCAGGCTCTCATACTTGGGACTGGGCAGCGACGACGGCGCTGCATGCACAATAATCTGCTGCTGTTGCTGCTGCTGTGCGCTGTTGGTGGGCGTGCCGTGGGTTATGGAGCCGCCCTTTACCATCTGCAACTGCTGCTGCTGCTGCTGCTGCTGCTGAGCGACGCTGACTGCGGCTTGCTGTTGCTGCTGCTGCGGCGACGGCACCTGACTGTGCAAATGTTGTTGCTGCTGCTGCTGCGGGTGCTGCTGCTGCGGGTGCTGCTGTGGACTGAGCTTGGGCGGCAGCTTGGAGACGCGCGTCGGCGGCGGCTGGGGCTGTGCGGGCGGCGGCGGCGTTGGGCGCGTCATTTGGCCCTGGCCGGCGGGTACAGGTACGGGTTGCACATACAGTGAGCCCGGCTGGGCGGGCACTGCAGATGCCTTGACCACGCCTACGCCTACGCCAACGCCCACGCCATGCAGCTGCTGGTACATTAAATAGCTGGGTGCATTTGGCGGTCCGCCGGGCACCGACAATGTGGGTGGCGCCTCGGACCTAAACATGGGCGCCGTGCGCACAATGTGCTTCATGGCGCCGCCCAATGTCGGCGGCGGTCCATGATGGCGATCGACGGCGCCGGCGCCCGTATGCGGCGAGTGGCCATCCCGCGGCGGCTTCTTGATGCTCAAGTCGAGCGTCTGCGGCTCCGGCTCCACGGCCAAACGTTGCGGCGGCGCCGCGTGCACCGAATGCGTTGCCGGCGGTGCGGAATGCTGATGCTGATGTTGCTGCTGCTGCTGAAGTTGCTGATGTTGCTGATGTTGCTGATGTTGCTGTTGCTGCTGTTGCTGCTGTTGATGTTGCTGCTGTGCTGCCAAATGACTGCCGGACACATTGTAGATGATCGTTTCGGGCGGCGTGGACGAGACAGCGCTCTTCTTCAACACGGG